AGGGCCAGCAAAGGCTTCTTGGCAGGGCCCTCTGAGATGCTCTGTGGAGGCTAGGGGTCTGGGCAGGGTTAAAATGATGGGGATAGCAGGGCCCATGAGCCCCCAACCCCAAACAGAACCCCTTGCCAGATCCATCTATATGAATTATTCCCACTGTTCCCAGGGCATCCACCTCCCATGCTGTAGCATAAGAAGAGGCCCAGAGGAACCCTGGGAGCTCTCCTTCAGGGCCTGGGCTGGCTTGGTCCCTCACCCCCTGGATCCTTGTAGCCTGGAAACCAAGGTAGTCTTAAGCTCATGCCAGTGGATCTGAGATGCTATCCCCATCTGCACACAGACAGCAGCCAAAGGGGGTTGAAAGGGACTCAGGGGTCATAGAGCCCACCCTCACCTCAACCAACTCCCTCCTCAGGAATACCCCTATACCGTCAATATGGCCACCTATTCAGCCTTTGCCAAAGCAGACTTGGTGACCCACAAGTCCCCATCCCCCACTTGCCCCTGACTAACACTGGCCAAAGAATTCATTTTGTCCTAATTAGTAAAGCTCAAGGGGAAAAGAGGTACCAGCCCCCTCTCCTCACCAACAACATCTCCCACCCCAGCTGACCTTGGACAGACCTCCTCCCAGCTACTTTCTCCCCTTCCTGTCCACCCTAGACCCAAAATGTCCTGAGCTCCACCCTTATCTATGATCACTGCCCCCATTTTTTGATAAGAATATGGAGACTCGGAGAGGAGAAAGAATTTGTCTAAGGCCACACTTTCATTTATTCAATAAGCATTTATGGAGACTTGACAGCCAGACTGGGCACTGGGCAGACAGACAGACAGACAGACAGGAACCTATAGCAGCCCTTCTAGGGCACTGCCAGAGTGCTGCATTTCCCAAGGAAGTGCCCTTGGCTCAGGCCTTCCCAAAAGAATGAAAGAATGAGTAGGAGCTCACCAGATAGAATTGGTGAGACAAATCCTTGGTTTTTGTTTTGTTTTGTTTTGTTTTGTTTTAGTCTAAACCAGGCACTGCCTGATGTAAGCATTTTCACTCGTTCTTATGATTAGAACCCCTTGCCACATCAAGCTCTCTGGAAAACTGACCTAGTCATCAGAAAATGGTGTGCTGAGCCAATTATCACAGGAACCAGACTAAGGGGTCCAAGGCCAGGACCACCAGCAACAGCCTACAGCAGCATGAGGCCTGCCCACCACTGGCCCCAGAAGCCAGGTCTCCTCTCTGACCCAGGGCATGGCCACAGAGTTCCGAAGCCACCTCCACTGCCACCACCAGTGGCTCCACTTCTTGGTTCCCTCTTGCAGTGGGAAATGAGCACACTCCGCATGGGAAAAACCTAGACAGTGGTTCTGAAAGTAGCCTCTGGGTCCCTCTAGAATCCAAAACCCCTGGGACATGTGCTTAAGATGTAAGTTCCTGCCTCCCCACATTAGAGTTTGACAATGACATCCATAGGGCCTCTTGGCCTTTCATTTTCCAGTCCCTTCTCCACCCAGACCTGTCCCTCCTGCTTTCCTCCCCCCACCCTTCTCAGTTCTCAGTCACTGCTGTGCCCCAGTGCCCTGTACAGGCAAGTAATCAGAAAACATTCACCAAACACATACATGGTTATCTGTGAGACAAAGTAACCTGGCTCCACTCTTAATCCTCAAGTGAGTCTTAAGTGGGTACCTCTCTGTGCCTCAGTTTCCCTTTTGGAAAAAAAGAACTGATGCGAGCCCTGCCCACTCCCTGACCCCTGCATGGCCACTCCTCAACAAACATTACTGTCACACAAGTGCTTCCATGTCAACTTCCCCCTTCCTAAAGAAAATTATCAGAAAAGTTAACAGCGGGGAATCCAGATGAGACTTTGAGGGAGTTCTTTGTACCATTTTCACAACTTTTCTGTGAATTTTAAATTAATCCAAGATAAACAGTTAAAAATTAAAACAGTAAACATTACAAAAAAAAAAAAAAAAAGAAAGCAAATCAGATTTTAGTAGGCATCCAGAAGTGAATCTAAGAATTAAGTGTTCTGTGGCAAATATTTAACTGTGGGTAGACACCATATGCATCACTGGTACAGACTAGCAGTGATTTTTTAAACCATTATTCTTTAGATGGGGAGCCCACATGCCTCCCACGCTGGCCCCACTCTCAGCCATCACAGCCACTGGGGGAGGACACTGTGCAGCAGGTGCTCCTGGCTTCAGCCTCCCTTCTGTACAGGTGACAAAACCGAGGCCTCCGGAGGTTGTGTGGTAAGCTTGGGTTTGCACAACTGGATGGTGGCTGAGCTGGGATTTGAACCCAATCTGACCTCAGAGCTGCTATCTTATCACTAGGCTGTAAAGGTACCTCCCTGGTCTATCACACAGTCTACTACCATTCATCTTTTTGCTCCACTTCATTAGTCTCCTGGCAGCTCGCTGACCCTCAGAAGCAATGATGCCAACCTCTCCTGAACATCACTCTCAGGCATGTGGGACCCCCAGGTGTGCTGCCCCTGTCTTGGCATCAGCAAGCACTCTGCAGGCACAGCGGAAATGAATGCAGAGTCCCTGATGGATCACAATCACAGGACCCAGAGACCTGGGGCACCATGTGGGTTGCTGCTCAGAGCTCTGAAGCCTTTGAAAACAGCTCTCCTCTTCTCCCGCCATGGTTCTGTCCCATTCCAGGAGGGCCTGGCAGTGGGGGCAGACTCAGGGCTCAGCAAGCAGAAAGAAAGCTGGTGTTATGCATGAGCTGGCACCTTATGGGCTGTGGCTTGAAGCAAGATCCAAAGGGATCAGTCACCCGTGGAGGCTGAGTGGGAAAGGAAGAAGGCAGGCTTCCAGCTTCCAGAGTGCATTGAGCCAGATTTGGGACTTTTCTTGCCATGCAACCGAGGACAGTTCAGGGAACAGCTGCTGATGCCTATCTGCCCTGCTAGATCTCAGGAGGCTACATGGGGACTAGGCCGAAACACAAGGAGCACCAGGCATGCTGAGGGAGGCTGAGGTGAAACACTGTCCACCCCTGGGGTCACTGTCCTCAGTGGCTGAAATCTGGACTCTAGTTGAGGAAGAAGTGAGGTGGACAATTTCAATGCTGGTGGTTGCTCCCTATCGAGTGCCTTTCCGTCTCCTCAGTTAGCCTGTCACTCCTTGGGGCAAGGCCTGCTTCTGATTTCCCTCCAAGCCTCCACTGCCCAGCTCTGGGTGGAACATATAGGAGCTTAGGAAGAACTGGCTTTGGTCTTTCAGGAACTAAGAGGAAGGCTAGAATCATGCAGCCTCAGTGGATATACAGGCCTTGATCTGGCAGCTGCTGAGCTCTTTCGCTTAGTTTCAAACCCTCCTCTTCCAGGAAGCCTTCTCTGATCCTCCCAGTAAGGGCTGCTCCCCTGCTCCAGGCTCCCATGGCCCCTTGTGTTTATGCCACCCAGTACTACAGCACCCAATATGGAAATGGGCCACCTCTGTCGCTGATTTGTGAATGTCCAAAGGGTGGAAATGAACAGATCTGAAGCACCTGCTGTGTGCTGCTCTGGTACCTTCCATCAAACTTACAATAGCTGAGTATAGGACCCTCAGGCAGGCCAGGGCACCTAAAGCCCAGGCCAGGAAGGCACAAGGGCTGGGGCTGATAATTGATGGAAGAGGGTAGGGTGAGTGAGGTGGATATGCTCCTTCCCATCCTGGGATGGCCCAGGGGTAATGAGACAAATAGCACAGACACCAAGAGCAGCCATCAAGCTGGCCCCTGGTCTGTGCATCTATGTCCTAGCTAGTTGCTTCTAAGTGGCAAGTAGGGCCTTTGAGCTGGTCTCTGGGCTGCCCTTGATCTTTTCAGATGAGGCAGTGGAGACCCTGGGAAGGTAGATACATCCCTTGCTTCCCCTTTCCCCCAGCCTTGCCCAGAATTATGTGAGCTGGTGAGGAGGAAGCAGGAATGCAGAGCCTTTCTCCACTGCCCAGGCTTACCAATCAGTCCATGGGACCCTGCTTCCAGTCCCCAGTCAGGTACCATGACCAGAAATCTAAAGGACCATGAGACCAAAGCAAGACTGGCTCCAGGTGCAGGAAGCCTTAACCACTGCTGGATGGGGTGTGAGGGAATCTCTCTCTCAGGGTTCATAGAGTGTGATCCTGAGATGCACTGCCATGCAAACAGCTCAGTGTGAACACAATTCCTATCACATATCAAATGTTCCAGAGCCCAGGCCCGCTCACACTGACCTCATCTGAACCCCCAGCAGCCTTGGGTGGGGAGGAGGCCTGCTGCGTTACCCCCTTGGACTGATGGAGCTGCCCAGGTGCCTCCAAGCTCAGAAGTAGCAGAGCAGACAGAGATGCTGAGCATTCAGTCTTCCTGAGGCCAGGTATCACTCTGCCTTTCCAAAGAGGACAAGGCTCTTGGCTCCACTACCCCCATCCAAACAATTCAGCCACGGAGCCTATTTGCTGCAGATCCTGTTGATAACACGCAGTGACACTTGATTCGGCGCCTTCTGTCTGTACAGCTACCTTTCTGGTAGCCCTCCAGGAGACTGCCCTGTGCCCAGCACATGCTCATCACAAGCAATCCTTGAGCCCCCTGCTCTGGGCTACAGGGTGAGCCAGCCTCTGGGTCTCAGTGTTCTTATCTATAAAATGGACACAGGGTAAACTATCTGATCTGAGATGCCCTGATTCTTTTTTGCCTTCAGTCAACTCTTAGAGCACCTTGGCCCCAGGCCATTCACTAACAATCAAACCCTCTCTTCCAGAAAGGGAGAAGATAGAGGGCTCAGGCCAGCCTTCTCTGCCTCTCTAGCTTAGTCTCTTTGCTTACAGAGAAAACCAGAAATCCAAGTGCACTGCCTCCTTGGTGGAAGCCCAGGAGGAATGCTTGGAGCCGGTGAGGATCATGGAAGGGGGAACTGAGGCCCTGAGCTGTCCCGCCACCTGGCTGGGCATGGACCGGGCGCCCCCCGTTGCTTCTCCACCGGGCCGCGCCAACGGCGACTCAACAGCCCTACCTGGCACAGGTGCCTGGCTCGCGGGGCGGGCAGGGGATCGGGCGGGCACAGGACGCGGGCTCCCTCAGGTGGACAGCGCCCAGCCTGGCCAGGCCGGGCCGGGCCGGGGCGGCGGGTACGGGGCGGCGGGCGCCGGGTGCAGCGAAGAGCTTGCAGAGCAGCGAGGAGGCGCGGACTGGGCTCCACCCGCAAGAGAACAAACAGGTTTTCACCGGCGCCCAGTGCCTCGCCCCTCGCCCCTCCCCTCGGCCGGCCCCCTTCCTCTGCCCTCTCTTGGGGTAGGTAGATGCGCCTGGCACATTCCGCACATTCTCCCGCCAGTGTCCTAGGTCCGCCCGCCCCTTCCCAGCCCCGCCCTGCGGGGCTGCTGGAGAAATCAAGGCCGGGGCACCCTGTGCCGAGCACAGAGCAAGTTCCAGAAGGCTCTGCCACGGTGGAAAACTTCCAGGTAAATTCCTTCGGACTCGCGGGCCCAGACCCGGAGGTCTCCGCCACAAGAACGGCCCTGGCTGCCTACTTGTGCCCCTGACCGCACCCGACGCGATCTGGCCCCGGTTCAAGGCCAATGACTTCCACAGATGCTTTGGGTTAATTCTGTCGAGAACTACTGTTCCTAGATCCATTTTACAGATGAAGATCCCAGACAGGGGCGGGAATGGGGGGTGGGGGGGCAGGGGGCCAGAGGCTGAGATCATACAGGAAGTCCCAGAAGCTGGGAAGGAGAAGAAAGTGAGGGAGCCGAGCTCACCGGCAGCACTAGGGAAGTTCTCACCCTGGAAGGCCATGCTGGGAGCACCCTGTCAGCAAGCCAGGCCACCTCACAGGTGACACATCCAGACCCCTAGGGCCAGTGCAGTTTGATAAGTGTCATTCATTTGTGCATTTTGAGTACTTGTGTCATTGGATCATGCTTACTGAGTACTTACTATGTGCAAGGAACCAATATGGGGGCTAGGAAGGAGGGAGCTTCAAAATAAGCCCCAACCCTGCCTGTGGGTCCAGGGAATGCCTCTGATATGAGGAACAGTTAAGTCGGTTGAACAGATGGCTTAGGGTTGGCTAAAAGTTGACCTATCAGATTACAGGATCAAAAGGATGGACCAACAGTTCTTCCTTCATCAAGCTCTGTCAAGTCTATGTCCTAAATGACCCTCCAATCCACAGACTTCTGTCCATGCCCACTGCTGCCACCCTAGTGCAGGGCCTGGGCTATAGGACCAGCCTCCTTGCTGGTTTCCCTGCCTCTGGCTTTGCCTTCCTTCCCACCCTGTCTCCACAAAGAAATTAGTTTAATAGTTTAAATGCTTGCAACTCTTTGATGGCTTCCCATTGCTCTCAGGATAAAAGCCAAACTTTAAGAGGCCCCAAGGATGGGCTGCACCAGCCTCTCTCTGAACATCCAGCCACACTTCCTTAACTTCTGCCTTCTGAATATCACAAGTTCTATCTCCTTGGGGCATTTGCTCCTGGCACTCAGACTCCCTAGAATGTCCTTTGTCCCCTTGTCTTAGTGGTTCTCCAAACCTTCACTCAAGTGGTTGTAGATCCTTCTCTGACTGCATGTGCCACCCAGGCAAGTAGATTGCCTCCTTATGTGTGCCCCCCCCCAACCCCAGTTCCCTCTGATGACATATATCTAGTATAGTGGCCATCACCTTTATTGTTTCGGATGGTGAGCTCCAGGAGTGCAGAGTCACATCTGAGTCATTGCTGGGGCATAGAGACAAGCACAGGGGTCGGAGGGGATTCGCAGAAGGATGGAATTGAGGGGTGATTGAGACCCTAGAAGTGATTCTCATTATTCTCTTCCTGGGCTTTGTCAGGTAGTGAGGAGGTGACCCTGTGTCTGTGTGACTATGTGTGCAGGGAGTGGGGATGGGGGGATTGTATATAAAGTCACTGCAGTTCATCTGTCTCTTGCCAACCAGCATTTCTCTGCTTCCAGTCTGGTGGCCAGCCCTTAATGCCTTCCCACCCCCTGCTTGGGCTGCTGGTAGCCATGGATTTGGCTTGGCCTCCTAGCTCCTAAATATACTTACTATATGACGTAGGGTGTATCTTTTCAAGAACCGTAAAGACGTACAATGTACAATGTAGACGGCACAGTGATGGGTTAGATATAAGGGTGAGGAAGAAGATGGCCCTTGCCTCCCAAAGCCTCCAGTGGGAAGGGGCAAGCTTGCTCCAGAGCCTTAAGTGTGGGTGCGCCAGCTACAGAGCACAAGCAAGACGGTGGTCCAAAGCCACCAATGGTCAGTGAGGGCTGCCCTGGGTTGGGCTGCCCTGGGGCCTAGAGCTCTTCCCACATCCCAGGCGATTCAGCCCTTGCCCAGGCCAGATATGCCACGACAGCACCAGCCTAAGAAACCAGCCTTTCCTCAACTCCTCCCTCCCTCCCAGGCTGCCAGGCCCTGCAGCTGATCTCACCTAAAACGGGTTTGACTCGAATGGTAACTGCCTTGCCCTACCCTGCCCTGCCTTGCCCACTTGTTCACTGCCCCAACAGAAACCCCCACTCCCACCAGGGCCACCCCCAGACACCTCAGCCAGACTTCAAGGTCCCTGCCAACTTCTTCTTTGACTCCTTATCCTCAGGCACCTGGGCCCAGACACACCAAGTGCTTTCTTATCACTGACCCCTGCACAAGATGTACCCTTGGTGGTAATCTACCCACTCTCAACCAGAACATTGGCTCCTTCATGAACTTCCCCTTGGCCTAGAACATGGGGGCAAGATCCTGGTGACTGTTGGCTGCCCTCAGACTGGGGTATACTCCTGCCTGGCCTGAGGTTGGCCTTGTCCCTCTCTATTCTCAGCTCAAGCCTCTAACTAAGGTGAGCTTCAGGGTGGGACCATGCTGGGCTGTTTGGGTAGGCAAAAGGCCTGGAAGGTAGAGGCAGGAGTGGGCAGGTGACAACCCCCCTGAAGTGCGGGGGGGGGGGGTCCACAGACCATGAGTAGGCAAGAAGACAGATTCTCTGGGAGACCAGTTTGAAGTAAGCAGATGAGTAGGGGCATAAGTGGCTGTTTGGAAAGAACTGGCTAGCTGTGTTCCAAAGAGTTCCCAGGTTAAGGAGGGAGATATTGGGTGGGGCTCTGAAAGCTGTCAGGCCTCAAAGCCACACAGGCAAGAGTGTCCTCCTACTGGAGGGGACTGGAGACAAAGCACTGACCCAAACTCTGCCATTGTACAAATGGGGAAATGGGCCCAGACAGGGATGGCATCTAGCTGAGGCCACACAGCCTGTCTGAGGGAGAGCTAGGACTAAAGCCAGATCTCCAGTTACTCTGGATGGAGCTTCTGCCCAGCTAGGGTGCTCAGGTTCACATGTCTGGAGGGCTGGGCTCCTGTTTGCACCCTAATCCCCTTCTTCCCTCCCTCCTTCCAGGGCTCACCCTGCTGCCTCATTCTCCTAAGCTCTTCAACCAGTTTTCACTTGCTAGGTGACTCTGCAGGCTCCAAGCAGGGTGGGTCCCCTGAGGGCAGGGGTCCCCAGGCATGATTGCACCCACAGTGGCCCCTAGGAGCTCTGAACCTGCAGGGCCAGACATCTGAGTCTGTAACCAGCTCTCCAGGTTGCTGGGAGCTGGTCCAATCTGTCAGCACATGGGATGAGACCCCGCCTGTCCAGTCTTGCCTTTGGGGGGCCCCCACCCTGCCCTCAGCCTGTACTCCCAGCTAAGGGGCTGGCCCATTTACCTGGCACAAATACATTCACTCACCAAGTACCCCCTTTGAGCCTCCTGTTCCCCACTACACTGCCACACCCTCCACCCACTTAGAGACCAGTCAGACCCAGTCCTGGCTTGGAGCAGTTTCCAGTCTGATGGGAAAGGCAGACCAGTGCAACTCCAAAGGGCGGAATCCATGCCTCAGGATTTCTTGCTCTGTTGACAGTGGTCTCCCTGAGAACAGGGAGGTCAGATCATGCAGGCAGACCTCCCTAGGTCAAGTTGACATCTCCCACCCCTGCAGCCTTGACTCCCCACTGCCTTTTGAATCTACCATTTTGAATAAGTCCAGGAAACGCTCTGCCATCGGTTTTGGCCTGTGTGACCTGATGCCCCGGAATACAGACTGTCTCTCATCTCTGGATCTGAAGCAGCCCCAGGCCAGGCCTCCAGAGCACGAGTGCACAAGCTGAGCCAAGGCCTCGCTGGCAGATAAATCCCCGCATGCCCTGAAGAATGGCTTTTTGCTGCTTTAAGAATCATCCACAGATCGGAAAAAGAATGTTCTAATTGGAAAACCTCCCCGCCATGGTTTTCCGGAGTTTTAGTACAGTTGGCCGGCAAGGAGGCTCCTGGGATGAGGAGGAAGGGAAGTCATGAGGAGGAGACAGTCGGCTCCCTGCCTAGCACCCCCTCACCCCTGAGCTCAGTCACTCCGGGCAGAGGGCCATGCTGAGGGTCCCAGTGACAGAGGAATCTGGAAGTTGTCTGGCTGTGCTGAGAGCCCCTCCCCCAAGCTAGTCCCAAACCCTGCCCCCTGGGGCGCAGAGCCGAAGTAGCTCAGGCTCCAGGACCCACTTGGGGTTGAAAGATTGATTCCCACTGTGGACTGTGAGTACTGGCCTAAAAGAGAAAAGATGTGGAAGCTACCACCTGCTCAAAAAACAGGAAAGCCAGTGTTGGGGTGTCTGTAGTGCCTCTGACCTGACTGGCACCCTGGGCTGAAGACCTGGCAGGGGTATTCATGCTGCAAGGGAAAACAGACTTCCTAACAGATCTGTCTGGCAAGGGTGGGAGCTCTCACTCAGGGACCCTGCTAAGCCTGGTCTGGCTAAACCACTGGTCAGTAGAGATGAGGCCATAGCAACCTGAAGGTCTGTCCAGCTCCAAGAGTTTCTGATTTGTTCTTTTTACTTAAGCATTGCCCTTGCACTTGGGAAATGCCCACCTGAGAAGGGGAAAGCAGTGGATCCCGGAAACTCTTTTACACAGGAGAACCAGGTTACTGTGACTCATTTCTTGTAGAATGTATGCTTCTCTATTACTCTTCTCTGGAAACTTCCCTGGGTACTTAGCTGCCTTGATCTCCTCAAGGGAAACAGCTTTTGAGATTGGAAGGAACAGTTCAGAGGCTGCCTCTTCATCCATCTGAGTGGGACCACGGAGCTGCTGGCCAACGCCCCCTTTGGTGGAAATTCACATCTTGTGAGCATGGAGGGAAG